AGTCGCACAGTTCTGCTTCAACAATCATAAATCAGCTACAGGAATGAGCCCATTCTTTGCAAACTACGGATTCCATCCAAGACTCGAAGAAGTCATAGACGGCAGCTCAAACCCTAGAGCTTTGAACATGGCATCAACCATGAAAGAACTCCATCAACAATTACGATCAGACCTGGAATTTCTCGCAGAAAGGATGGCAAAATACGCAAACAAGAGACGAATCGAGGGACCGATTCTCGAGAAGGGGGACCCCGTCTACCTTTTGCGAAAAAATATTAAGACGAAGCGACCAAGCGCGAAGCTGGACTACACAAAACTCGGGCCATTTAGGATCAAAGATAAGTTGGGAGACGTGACATATCGATTGGAACTGCCGAAAGACATGCGCATCCACAACGTATTCCACAAAGCACTTCTTGAACCGGCGCCAAAGAACGCCAAATTAGTCAAGACACTACCGCTGGATGAAGAACTGGCATCAGAGGAATATGATGTTGAGAAAATCCTCAAAAGACGCGTCATGCGCGGCACCCCCCAATACCTAATCAAATGGTTAGGATACGACGACTGTGAGAACAGTTGGGAACCAGAGGCCAACCTTTCGGAAGAACTCCTAAGGGAACTGAGGCAGGATCACCCGGAGTGGTTTCGGCCAGCACTGCCTCCCAGTCGACTTGCTCGACGACCGGGGCTTCGGACCAGGCAAAGTTAGGGTCAGCCAGGGCCACCTCCTCAGCCGCGGACAACTGATCAAACACCCCCAACGCCTGCATCTCACGACGCAGCATACGACTAGAGACCTCTTCCAACCGAGACAAATCTTCCTGAAGAGCCACGTCCTCCTCCTCCGCCTCGAGGAGCAGACGCCGGAGACGGGCAATCTCTTTTCGCTTCGCCCGAGACCGGGACACCAATTGTTTCTTTTGTTCCCCCACCTTCCGAAACTCCTCCATGGAGAACGTTCCATCACAATTCCGTTGATGACGCAGACATTCCGCACAACTAGAAGACTGCTCTCGATCATAATAACAGACCACACCATGGCCCACACACTCGCTACAAGCAACCATCGCGATATTGTCAGGATCGGAGGAGATCGAATCGGCAAGTTCGTTACGACGTTCGCTTCGAGATTTTTGAGGTTTGGAAGAACGGCGAACCTTAACAACACGAAAAGACTGCATGGTCAGCCATAGCAAGAAGAGAGAGGGAAGAGAGGGGGCAGACCTGGGGCGTGACCTACCTTAAGTACGTTGAGGACAACGAACAAATCTAAGAGGGGGATAGTGTTGGACACAGCCTTAAGAACCTGCGAAGGACGCACAGGGAAGGAAACTCAACCGAAGGGACAGCTTCGGGGAATGAGGCTGAAGGGATCACGTGACGTCCAAGAAAGGAAGGAGTTGGCCTGTTGACATGTTGGACTGGAGCATGCCAACATACCAACATACCATTCTACATTGCCTCATTCGGCAGGCCCGCACAAGTATATAGCTACGCTCTCTCCCCTATACAGTTGCACTCTCTTCGTAGCCAACTCATGTTATCTACTGGACTATACAGTTCTTAGTAACAGGGAGGAGACCCTGCTCATACCGCGTGTGACCCACAACCAGCTCATGCTATACTAGGATTGTTGCTGAGAACCCTAACCCAGTTAGGATCAGTGAGGATCCTTAACACTTTGGCTACCACCCCTGTTGTGGGAAACAACTTATATGAGCAGACCGACTCGACCCACCTCGCCCATAGACGAACTCATCCAACGTACCGCACGACTATCACTAAACGACAACACGATGTCGACCACATCCGGTACACCAAGACCAACGCCAAGTACCCCAAGGACTACGGCCAGTGCACCACCACCGGCGTATGGGACAAGTGTGGCAAGCTCATCAAGAGATGTGCCATTGACAGTCAGCAAGGGAAAGATTGGCAACCCACCTAAGCCCTTCAACGGCGTGGAATCCAAGCTTATACCCTTCATTCACCATGTGGATATGTATATCCTGATGAACCCTACGGACTTCCAGAATGACCTGCAAAAGATTCTGTTCATGGGAAGTTACTTTGAAGGAGATGCAGAGGCATGGCTAAGACCCTTCGTCAAAGACTATATGGAGAACGAAGGGGACGACAGGGAAGATGAAACCATCAACCTGTTCGAGACATTTACAGGGTTCAAAGAAACGGTGAAACTGGTGTTTGGAGCAAAGGACGAGGAAAAGGAAGCCCAAAAGAAGATAGTGGGCCTCCGACAGACAGGGTCAGTCCAGGAATATGCAACAAAGTTCAGGACATTGAACGCGGCCTTGGGATGGCAGGATAACATCACCATTCCCATCTTTAGAGAGGGTCTGAAACCAAAGATCAAGTGGGAGCTTCGACACCTTGAGAAAACCACCTTGGAAGACTGGATAGCTGCGGCTATCAAGGAAGACAACGACATCAAGGAGTATCGACAGCAGGAACCCCACAACCCTCGAAAAGTGCAGGCTGCACGGGCACAACAGGCAAATACCCAAAAGAGGCGCGAACCATATTATGGTCCTCAACCGATGGATCTAAGTCAAGCACAAAAACGACGGAACAACCAGAAGAAGGGTAATCAACCCAAGGAAACACCGAAAAAGAAAGAAGGTGCTTGTTATAACTGCGGCAAACAAGGCCATTACGCGAAAGACTGCAAACAAAAGAAGAAACAAATCGCCACCGCAGAGAAGCAACCCAGACAAGACAAAACCGTCAAGACAACCCCAGAAGCCAATATGGCCGAAGGAGGATACGTGCGCCCAGGAGATTCCGTGGATCAAGGGAAAGCAGTCATCACGGGAATCACCTCTAACAAGATCCACATCCGCACAAGGTATTGGACAAGGAAGCCGTGCTCAGACCCGTACTGTCCACGACGAGCCTCAGAGCACAACCACACGGTATATGAACCAGACGGATTACCTGCGGACACCGAGACAACCTTTGGGATCTATA